TATTATAAAAAATAGGAAGAATTCAGTAATAAGCACACATAAATTTTCATTAACCCTCGTAATAAAACGATATAAGAAGTATTCACTTCTGTCGGTACTCCCCAAGGTTATACTCTTTTTCTTTAAAATTGTTAGCGGTCATTTTTTGCTCACGATCTGTGAAAGTTTATATTATTTAAGACAGTGTGTTTAGAATTATAATTTAGTTCTGCTTTACACCAACCACAGTTTGAAATCTGGGTGACCAACTAGTCACCGTTAACGTTTTTAGAGTAAGCGATTTTGGTTGAACGTTTTTCTGCATTGTTGGCAAATGATCTCATCTTTTAATGATTTTGTCCAAAAAATATAAATACTTTATATGATATCGTAGTAATCGCGGATGATTAATATATTATTGCTACCAAATGTAAATTATAAGATGCACCATAAATGTATGCAGCTTGGAGTTGGATGGCTTTAATTTTCTTTTGCACTTCGGAATAATGGCCACTCATATTTGCTGTACCGTCATAACCCGGTTTTAGACATTTTCTAACTTATGTTGACATTATACTATGTTTTTTTAAGAAGGATAAAATAAAACGTAAAATATCTTCTCCTGCTTGGCTATGTATATCACAGAAACCTAAGCACGATTCAATAATTTTTATATTACTTACAATATCAGTTATTAATAGAAACGTACCTAACTATAACTGATAATTGGTCTGTTTTAGAAACGTCCTGTGATGTATCCAATAATATAAAAAAACGGGTGTTGTAGTCCAGTGAGACTGCCGGTAGAAGTTATGCTTCTATACACGCGTTCCCCGTTACAAATTTACATGGGAGTCAATCTGCACAATTATTACATATGTAATACTATAGGTAAGAAAGAGCAGAAAGAGAAACAGAATTAGGTATATAGGTATATGGTGCATCGTTTGCTGTATATAAACAACATTTGACCTGTAATAAGAGTACAGTAAATGAAGGACTAAATCAATATTTTGATGAAAATGTTATTTTAATTTTCCTATATGTATGAAAGGAGATGAGTGCAAAAAATTTTTTTACACATACTCTGCAGCAGAGTTCGTTGTTTATTTTGCTATTAATATAAAAATACAATACAATACCCTGCAACATAATTCAATATAATAATGCAATACAAATTAAAATGCAATATTCTTAACTACTAAAAAGTTGAAAACACTTGAACTGTGGGTGTATAGAAGAATCTTGAAGGTATCATGGACCGAGCATGTAAAAAACAAAGAAGTAATGAAAAGAGTCAACAAAATAATGGAAATATTGGAAACCATCAAGTCACGACAGCTGCAATATCTGAGGCATAGAATAAATAACAATTAGAATGCCCATTTTGCTTGTTAAGATAAGTACGCGCATCTCGTCGGGCAGGCAAAATCAGCCATGTTTTAAACGGAACCAATGCTGTTCAGTGAAATTTTATCTGGTGTGCATAGAGAGTTAAACCGGTTTAATTCATTTACAGCAACTATAGACATAATATGCAATATTTTATGTCGTACATTTAGTTGAAGAACAGATTGAATTATTTCAAATTTACTATAAATTAGGGTTCTGTCGTAGCTTGGCACAAATTTATCCTCTGTGTTTCCGTTTAAAATATGCCGATCACGTACTGACACACTTTAAAGACAGAAGGTGATTGTTATTTATTATGTGCCTGAAGTATATTATGCATAGTGAAAGATACAACATACTTTTATCAATTATACAAGGGAAAACATAGGGTAAGAGAAGTGTAGGAAGGATAAGAATCTTATGGTTGCGTAACTTAAGGGAATGGTACGGATGAAAATCAATTGAACTTTTCAGAGTGGCAGCATCTATGATCAGAAAAGTCATGATAATTGCCAACGTCCGTCGCAGATATGGCACGTAAAGAAGAAGATATTTTGTATGTACCATTGGTGTTGCCGGATGATTTCGCCCATCAAGTAACATCTATCCCTCGAGCCAGCCCTATCTGGTTGGTAAGGGTTCCGGGCGTGATGATCGTAATAACATCCTTGATGCATAAATAACTATTGAACCATTATGTTTTAAATGATAATTAAGCAAGTATGGCAGAACGGGTGCTCATTTTTGAACATTATTTTGGGATATCTAGTGAAAGTGATTATGCAAAAAAATCTCATGGGAATATTTTTCCGAAGGAACTCGACCTTTTCGCCTTTTATATGTAATTTATTTCTCCGTGAAGAAAGCCCATTGTATTCTAAATGTGTCCTAATATTAGCATCTTAATGATTTTAATGTACATGCTGGTCATCGCACGTAAGCATGCAGCGACAAATTTTAAATTTAAGCTCATCAATCATCATAATGTGTGTTACCGTAACTTAAAAATAAGCTATCTACTCTGATGCCTTTAAAATCAAATTATTACTTATTGTTTTCTGTTTTTTTATTGATATAGCCTATAGCGTACAAAATAAAGAAAAGTTGTTAGTATTAGTTGCCGTATTTAGATGAAGGTTAAGTCTATGCCTCGGAGACACAGCGCTTGCTAATCACTGTATTTGAGTTGTTATAAGCATATTCTCAAAATTTTAAACTACTTGTCGATTATCAGACATGCGCAACTTTCGACAACAACTACAACAACCATAAACTTCATCTCAGAGATCAACATAGTGTGTGTTACCCTTTTTATATAAATTAATTTTTATTTATTGTAGTAAAATACACTAGATTTATAAACTGTTTATTAAAATCTCTATCCAAATTCGAATATATTTTACATTCTTACCGTGTTTACACTGATTTTAGTTATTATTTTAATCTTAAAAATTGTTCAATCTTCCAGCGAATAAAGTAACCCCAGAACCATGTTCTTTAATGTAGAAAAAGAATGGGTGATCTGCTTTAAAATTATATTGTGGATCAGGCTCAATATATGCAGACTCCAATATTCCAACTGTAAAACATTAGAAATGTACATGAAGTAAAGATTATAAATGTAATATAAAAGCATTATTATATACATTATATAATTATATTATATAATTATCTAATCTTTCAAGCAGTATTTAACTCTTTTTAAATAAATAAAGGTATCTACTAAGCTAAGCAAAAAGAATAGGAAGAGAAAAAGTTCGTTAAGAAATAAGTATAATAAAGCAGACTAAAAAGGTTGTTGTCTTAGAATATCATCGAACTATTGGAGCAGAGGTATAAAATGTAGAAAAAATCTCTAGACTTTTTATTTTTTCAAACCTTTTTATCGGGAAAAAATTATCAGATAACATAAAATGTTTTTAAATGGACATACTTATGTGTTATACTTATAAAGTTGTACATATAAAGTGTTATATTTATAAAATTAATAGTTACTGTGTATTTATTTAGTAGTCTATAATGTCTCTATCCACATAATGACCGTATCATCAACATAAAAAAACTATTTAGTTTGTATATCATCATCGAATAATAACAGATCACAAAATGGATACAAGTAAACTCATCACCAATTAGCATAATGGCAATCGTAGAGACTACAAATGAATCACTGCAATAAAACCAGGGATTTTAAAATAGACCAAAGAATTTGCAAACTAACTACTGGCCTACCTGCAAACTGTAGCAGGTAAAGTAAAATAAAAATACCGAAATTGGGGACCATTTGCGATGTATCCGAAAATAGCAAATATTCAAAAATATTTTCATCAAAAAGTTTACTATCAAAAAACCTATCCAGCTAAATTTTCAGATCTCAAATCCGATTAGATTGGTAGATACATCTAATAGGCCCCTCACCGGGAGACACTCCATATAAATATTTTATATGGGGTGTTTTATATGGGGGGAATTTTAAAGCAATTCGCTTAAAATAATTTCTGAATTTAATAAATTACCGCGGAAACAAGAAGTGTAATAGCTAACAGGCAATCTTCAGCATTTGAAACCAATGCCTTGTGTTAACAATTCTGGTGATGAGTTTACCTATCTGCGGTGACAAGTTTATTGATCTCTAATGTATGCTGGTAGTCAGTTTTATAAATCTGGAAGGGACTAGTAATTTTGTTGGAGCTATAAAGTGATCAGTTTGTACACGTTCCAGATGACGACAAATTGAGTAGCGATGAAGAGTTCCAGCAAGAAAAGGTTTAAGATTTGGTACATCAAAGACGATATATCTAGAATTTTTATTTTTGAAGGTAAAAGCAGATGAAAAAGATAGTCAAATAATAGCTTAAAGATAAAGCTGTTATTATTATTTTAAAAATATTTTAAAAACTGAAAATGGGGAATTGCAGCTATTAATGCATCTATTAACCCTTAAAAAAATATGACTCACGAAGCACACAAAATGTGAGGTTAAAATTACCCCCTAAGAAGAGTTATGGAGTGTTCATATTACTTATATCCTTCGTGAGTAGGGGAATACCTACTGGCACACGGCTGTTGACGCATATCTCTGAAGGAGATTTATATTTTGATCACTTATAAAAATTATTCAGGCGACAATTAAAAAAAATGTAAGGAAACAAAATGTGCTTGTAAAATTTACTTGATTACTTGATCGATAGTCTTAATTGACTTCAAGCTAATAATACCACAAAGGATCCAATAAAAACTTTAATTTGGCAAGTAATTTGGTTATTAAAAGTTGGTAATGGAACTTGGAGTAGTGTAGGTTATCGAAGCTCAATTTTCAATTGGGCAACCGTCTCTCGACATTTTTATATGATCGTTTCATTATACGCTTCTATGTCTTATCCTTATCTATGTACTTTTAGTTCATAGTGACTTATCAACGATTTTTTTAACGGTTTTCATCCCTGCTCTTTCTAGCATTCGTTTCTTCCTCTTTGTGTCAGGTCATGTTTCTGCCGGGTATGTCGTTATTGATCGGATGAATATTTTGTAAATTCAGCCTTTCGATTTTTTTACTATAATATTTTTTAAGTATTTAAATCCACATAAATAATGCACACAGGTGTTTATAATATTAGTTTCCATAAATTTTAGAGTATACTATTTTTTTTATTTTAATAAAAACCAAGATAAAATATAAAAATTTTATAAAGCTAAAGCACGATATGGCATAATATCGGCCGGTTAAATACATTATTGTGCATAATAATAATTGGGACAAGTGTTTTGAAATAATAAGATTTTTCAATTACAACCAGGAAATATTCAATGGTTTAAAAAGCTCTACAACATATGTTTTATGAATTTTCTTAATAAAAAGGCACGAGAAGTTTTGTTGCACATGTCAAAGAAAAACATATTTAATCCTACCAGTAATATCTTAGAATGCATTGAATTGTTTTAATAAGTATTCGATATGCTTCTCTTTTTTTTGTTTGCCCCAATTAATTTGCATAATATTGTAAATCTGGTAACTGTGAACTAATACAAATACTTAATAATAAATTCTTAAACATAATAGCCTATGACGTTTTTTTTCTAAGGAATATTAAATCGTCCAGTAAAAAGCGTTACGCCAGAGTTATTTTCTTTTATGTAAAATATGAATGGATGATCTGCTGCGAAATCATATTGGGGTTGTCGAAGTGAATATCCAACTATACCAACTGAAAATAAATATAATTTCACGTAAGTATTAAAAGACTTCTTAGTTTGTTTAGTATTTAGACACAGCCCATTACACCTACATGCTTTCAATTGCCATGCTTTTTAAATATATCGTAATCGTCATTCGTCATACTAATTTTAAGACTTTAAAATATGCAAAACAGGTTAAAATTCCTACCTCCGGGCTTATAGACAAGTTTTAAAGTTAGGAGCAAAATAATGAGTTTGAAGTTTGGATTGTTGTTTATTTATATAAAAATATTTTCACTTAAAAATTATTGAATGCCTAGATAAAAGTCTTTTTGTAATATCTTACCATACACAACTTAACCATCAAATCCGTTTACATAGTTGTCACGAAAAATACCTTATTTTTACTAACTTGATTGGTCTAATACTATATTAAATTTAGATTATAATAAAGTTTTATTTTTCAAACATTTATAACCTATTCCCCATAACCCTAATAACACTGAATTGGCAAATTCCTCGTTTTACAACGAAAAATAGCGAGTAAAGAAATGCTAACGAGTCGCTCTAATTATTTAAAATATTCTATAGTGTTTCAGACAATTTGTTGAATTTTAGTTCGGTGTTCTATAGGGGATAAGCTCAAGAGGGTAAAATACATTTTTTTTACATTATAAACAACATCTCGTCACGAAAAATGATCCACGAAGACGGAATTAGGTGAAGTTTGTGTCTAAAGTTGTACAGTTTTGAAAAATGTCCTTTTGCAATTGAAGAGATTCAGTTTTAATCATTTTAGATCGTTTGTAATGGGAAAATTTTTAATATTTTTAGGCATACTTAAAATACCTCATACTCTTTGCCAAAACTGAAAATTGAAATTTTGTGCTCTAGTCGCATTTAAAAAGCATTTTGAGTTTTGCCATTAGACACTCTGATCAAAAGATATTAAATTTTTACTGTCGACTTAATTGAAATTTGATTTAACAAATAGTCGCTTTAAGCGTTGTTTCTGAGAAAACAGTTCATTTTACATAAAAAGTGCTAATAATATTTTAGTTCAAAATTATCTCAACTACATTTCTTGTTGGAAATATTTCTTGGTATTATATACAGATTCTTAGTATATCGATGTTTTCCATTTTTCATCCAAAGCCCGGGGTTAGGAGTTGCAAACTGATTTGCATCTTGTTAATGTCTTAAGATTAACATTTTTAGCAAATGCAGCCTATTCGTAAGACTTTTAGAGGTTTAGTGGTATTTTGGTATATGGCGATTGGAGTAATAGAATAAAAATAATATCTCCTTTAAACTGACAGCAAGACGATTTTAGCTTCTAGATGACCTTGACATAGAAATGTGTATCAATGGATTTATTAAGTAATTGAAATCATCTACGTAAGGTTAATCCACCATAATCAAACTGGAGGATATTCATAGTTGTAATGACATTCAAAAGTGCCAAATTATGTGCAAACGTAAATTTTAAGAAGTCACAAAATAGGAAAGTCAGCAGTAATGATAACTGTAACTGTAATTAGGGTTTATTGACACAAAACTATAATTTAAGCAACATCAATTTATAGAAAATATAACAAATTAATTAAAGAACTAACCAAAACTATTATGTATGTTCATAACATACTAATTGAGCTAGTCTTAGGATTTCCTTCGTAACTAAAGTAATTAAACATAAAAAGCACACACGGAAAACCTTAAACCATATAAAGGCAATTCCAAAGGTTAAAGTAGCAGCAGCGAAAGCAGCAAAAGCCAACAGAAAAACCAGCTAAAAAAAAATAGACCAAAGAGTATTGAGTATTTCAGATCGAATATTTTTATTATGGTTTTTATAAAATCAATAAATTTAAGGTAAATATAAATAAAAAGATATTTTTCTAAAATATTTTTTTAAATAGATATACAATTAGGTTTAATGAATGCAATGATTGATTTAATGGTAGTACTTGGTTGGATTTTAATTGGGGAAAATAACATAATTACATGATGGATGCTCTACAACCAAATTTTTATTAAAGTAACAGTTCATATTTATATAGTAAACTATTATTATGTATCATATGTTTTTGATACCGGGTGCATGTATTAATAAACTTTAAGTCATGTGAAAACCTGTTTAACTGTACCTGTCGATCTTTTTAAGAGACCTCACGATTAAAGGTTTTTAATAGTGCCAATATTCAACGGTAATATTAACTTTAATGTTGTTATTAGTTTAAACCATATTTATTACTTTTAGAGATTTAAAAATGGTATGGGTAATCTCGTAGTAATCATACGCCTTTTACCTTCATCCGTATGCGGGGTCAGCTTACCTAATTACATTTCTCCCCAAATTTCTATCTTCTAACCATACCAATATTCATTACATTGACCGACGTATTCTGCCGAAACATCTACCCAGGACTTATTGGGTCTTTCCCTTCTACTCTTCACATATCTTCCAAGGACTTGCAAAATCGTGCAAAACTTCATATTCGATGTGTCTCGACGTTAAACATGCTCGAACCCCTATATCTTCCCCTATATCTTACTGAGTAAAAACAGTTCTAATTGTAATTTAAAAGAGAAATTCCTAGTGGTTGGCTAGTTAACATATTTTTAAAAAACTTACCATGAAGTAAAAACTTCTTCACTAAAATACAATTAAAATTTATTAAAAATTTTAAAAACTAACCAAAATGAATTTAATAGTATTAATATTTAGAACGTTTTTGATTATATCAGATTATTATCAGTGAAAATCCCTAGAAATAAGTATTACCTGATAAATAAAAATGAGAATAGAAGAGTAAAATTTTGACTGTTAAGTTAAATATGTGATTAAAACTTACGTCTATAAAATAATATCTACTAACATAATGAGGTGAGTTGACCCTTCAATTACATAATTAAGTAATAAACGTTGATATTATTACACTTGGCCACTAGATCACAGCAGGAAACTAGATCGATGATAAGGCATTACATTTTTTAAGGGAATGCACAAATTCCCGGCTAAACAAGGACTTAACGAGTGGTAACAACCAACTGATAACAGTAGGAAGTACAAATGACTTGCAAGGGATAAGAGCTTCAAGATAAATATAATCATATAATATATGCCCATTCAGGGTGTTATTTAAAATAAAATTTATATTAAAGTTAAACTAATTTGATATTATCTGATCAAACATTGAAAACCACCCATCACTGATCTTGAGGGTCTTGTTAGTTACAAGTAATTTGTACTTTCTGCTGTCATCAGTTAATTGCTATCATTCGAGCTAGTAACTATTAATCACGTTTAACTCACAGTCAAAAGTTTACTCCCTTGTGCTCATTTTTTAAGTGGTAATACTTATATTAAGGATTTTTCACTGATGATGATTTAGTAGGATTGAAAATGTTCTGACAATTAATAATTCAAGTTTGGATGATTTTTAAAATTTTTAATGAATTTTATACCATTTTACTTAAGAAGTTTTTACTTCAGAGTAAAATTCTTAATTTTAGCCCTTTTTGTTATCCTATCTCTATCTTTATATAACTATTTTCTATTTTTCTCTTTCTTTTAACTGTTTAAATATTCTGTTGCATACATCATACCAGATTTTATGCCATTTTTATAGAATGTTGTTTTTAGTTTCAATAAAATCGTTCCATCACACAAAATACCACTAGTTTTCTTCTACTTTACCCATTCCTCCATAACTCAATTACATCTTCATCCGTTTTCTCGTTATATTTTGATCATAAGTAGATGCTCATCTTCATGCTTCATCACTGCTCAACATAGACCTTCCGTATAAAATATTACATTGCATCCTATGTTGAGCAAGCCGAATTGAGTTGTGCTGGATTGTGCAGATGTCGTCTGACCACCTTGTTAAACGTTCTCGAAAACGATAAGCCTCATGTATAGGTCTCCGTTCTAAAATTTTCATGGTCCATTTTTCTTCTATGACTATGGCAACATGTCCTGTTCAGTACCATTTTAGCATTGTAATTCTTTTAATTGCTTTCGTAACACCAATTTTTCTACTAACTGTTTAATCTGAAAATCTGTCTCTGAGGAATATATTATTGATTACTTTTTTGGTAAGGGTCATTGTTGGACCCTCCATACGTTAGACCTGAAAGTATACATTGATCAAAGACCTTTATTTTCAAGCACATGCAAATATCTGATCAAAAGTTTTTCCTCAGTTTTACGGGAGGAAAAAATGAGGAAGCTCATGTTAGTCGTATTCTCCTATTGAACTCTGTTGTTTAATAGTCCCTTCCTAATTAAATCTCGTGGCCCTGATACATATAGGTATAAAATATGTATGACATTAGTTAAAATGTTTTTGGCCTGTACATGGTTGATCATGTATTCTGTTTTGGAAAAGTTAAATTTAAAGCCAACTTGTGTACAAGAGCTCTGAAGATCTCGAAGAAGTTGCAAACCTCCAGTTGTTCAGAAACTCCTTATTTATGTTGACTGCAATATTTTACCAATTATTGTTACTCGTGGCACTCTGAGACAAGCTGAGATAAACTTCATATTTTAAATAAACATTCCAAATATTTTTGTACCAAGTTTCTCTTAAAGAACTTGCAAAGACTATTTCAGTTTTCCAGTATTCCAGTTATCTCATTTAAGTATAATGTGAATAAATAAGGACTAAATAAATAATTATTCCCTCTGCCGTTTACCACGTCTCTCACGTTTGGTAGTTTATTTATTGTTGAAGACCTTCCTTCTTATGTAAATAAGAACTATATGTACTATTTACATATGATGTACTATTATATAAGATGTACTATTAGATATATTATATAAGATGTACTATTTACATATTACTTTTATTCTCTCGGATACATCCAATCTTTCTTGTCCTCATTTTTAATTTGTTTACATTATTCAATTACATCTAATCTGTTTAACCTTTTGCTTTATTTAATCGATGTTTAACTATTATATATTTTTTCTTTAAATTTCCCTGATATAATGTTAATTATTGTATGAATTTGTATACGTTTC